CCGGCCCAGAGTGTCCCCAGACAGGAGCGACTTCCGAGCTCCAGGGTAGGTAAAGCTCTATCCGCTTCCTTAGGGGCTGGAGGAGTGGGTTGGTATCTTGGGGTCCTGAAAGGAGAATAGACCCAGGAATCAGACCCTGGGCCCAGACCCCCAGTTCTGCTTTTAGCTGGCCAGGTGCTCCCTGGGCCTCAGTTTCCCCATCTTTACAGTGATGGAGCAAGACCCAGTGGTTCGACCCCTACTGGATGTCACTGGAAGAGCTCAGAACTAACTTGGATTTAAACCTCTGAACTCAAGTCCCAAGCCTGTGCTCAGCTACCTCCCTGGGCAAGGAATTTCATGTCCCTGGGGCTCGGTTTCTTCATCGGCCCAAAGCGGGCAGCAGTATTTACTTCTCCCCCTGGTGACAGACTTGCTGCGCAGCAGGTGGAACGGAAGGCATTGTCATTACCTGTGGCTGTGGAGGTTCTGCGATTCCTGAGGTCCTTGCACCTTGGTTTGAGGACAGGGAGGTTTTATAAAAAGGGCTCTGGTGGCCTGCTCTTCCCTTCGAGGGGGACCCAGTGAGCAGGGCTGGATAAGCCATTGCCCGACCAGTCCTCGTGTGCCCTTGTTCGTGGCCTTGGGTAGGGTCAGGCAGATCCAGGTCCTCTGTGTATCCTGTGTGTCCTCTGTCCTCTCTGAAGTAGGACAGGGCCGGCCCTGAAGAGACCCAGGCGCCAGGGAAGTGGGCTGGAATCCAACGTCCCCAGGGGCAGGGTGGCCTCTCCTGGGTACATAAGGGACCATCACCACCAGCCTGAGGTGGCGGCCCCTAAATCCAGGCCGGCACGGTGGCCTGTCCTGCCTGGAAGGATGGTGACCCCCCTGGAGCTCGTGTCCAGGAGAGGCTGCAGGCCTCGCTGCTGGGCTTGTACCTGGCCCCAAGGGTTCCCACAGCACAGGAGGAGGCTGAGACCCTTCAGGGTCCCCTCCCTGGGAGCCTGTGAGGGGCCCCACGAGAGAGAGGTGGCCCCTTGAGTTGTCACTGTGGAACACCTGGGAGGCAGGTGTGGAGCAGATGGGCAGTGTCTCGGGGCAAGCTGACCCCTCGTCCCCACTCCAGGGCTTGTCTGGAGGTTGAGGGTCCCTTAGAGGCCAGGTGGGGGAGGGTCGGGTGCAGGTGGCCAGGCCTGGGGACACAAGGATGTGTGACTGCAGGGTGATGGGAATGTGCATGTGGAGAGGTCTCTCCAGCAGACAGCAACACATTTGCTGTGTGTGTGTGCATGTGTGTGTGAGTCCGCATGTGTGTGCCACACGTGCTGTCTCTCACAGCAGCCCCACAGTGTTACCTCACTGCCAGCTGTGTGAGGACGGGTGGAGGAGGCAGTGACACCAGCAGGACACAGGGCCAGATGCAGTGCTGGAGAACAGCCCACCGATGAGGTCAGCGCTCAGCTCAGAAAACAAACGAAACCCGGCCTCGTGCTTGGGAAAATCAGCTGACCTTTGTGCTTGGGAAAATCAGCTGACCTTCCTGCTCGGGGAGCCTCCTGCGACTGCCGCACTGGCGTGACGTCATGTCTGAGGAGTCCTGTGACCTGAGGGTCACCCGGGTATTTCTGGGTTGATTTGGACTTTGCTCGGGAATCTACTCTCTGCCAAGGCAATAAACATGTTTACAAGATCAGTTTGGTTTCCAAGTAGGACTGGCCAGGGCAGCAGGGATTCCCTGAGCGACTTGGACCCAACAAGAAAAAGAGGAAGGAGAAAGAAAGTCTTTGGCTGAGTCCTGGATAAGCAGGATTTTATACTCAGAACACTCAGACTGAATTGTGGCCATGTAGGGTGGGAAAGGTGGGTCCGACTAAGTCTCCTCTCAGCCAGGCGTGTGGCGGTGCACACCTGTGATCCCAGAGTCCCGGAGGCTGAGGGAGGAGGATCGCCATTTCTCCCTGCTTCTGGGGCAGCAGCAGCTCCTGGGCCTGGGTCTTGTTCTTAGCTTCTCTCACCTCTGCTGGGTCAGGCCACGGGTTGTTCCAAGGAGGGGGAGACCAAATCCAGGCAGTTTTCCTGAAAAGCCATCAAGAATGGACAAGCGGGGAACTGGGAAAACCTGGAACATAGACATTTGTCTGACCCACAGCAAATAAGCGGGGGAAACCTTTGGCGGTGGAGCTGTTACTGCTCTGAGGAGAAGTGCGGCATGTTCTTTGAAGGTGATAGGATACGGTACAGGCAAAAACAATTTTCACAGTGACAGCAGCTTTTTAAAAGATTATTGTGCCTCTCTTCCCATTAGCTGGGTAAAGGTGTTCCAACTCTCCCTGACACTGTTTTGTAAATATCTCTGGTTCGGGTCACTTTGATCTTAAAATCAAATAACCCTCAGCCAGTTGTGCTGGCACACACCTGTAATCTTAGCACTCAGGAGGCTGAGTCAGGAGGATTGCTGTGAATTCAGGACCAACCTGAACTACATAGCAAGACCCTCTCTCCAAAAAACAAACAAAACAAAACAAAAAATCAAATAATTCTGCAAATGTAAATTTATCTTCTTTAAGACTGTGTGGTGCTAAAGAGACAGCAGACAGGGGTGGAGCATTTTCTGGGCAGTGCTGACAGCATCCCTGGTCTCACCCGTCCAAAGCCAACATATTCTTCAGCTGCTAATTCGAATCTAGATTCCCAGCGTCAGGCATAATTCCTGATGCATGGCAGGTACTTAAGAAACCTTTGCTAAAAGAAATAATAGGAACCAGAACAAATATTTCCCTCTGTGATTTCTTCTTATCCCACCTGTGCTGCATTTCGGAAGCACAGCCAGGCTCCGAGGCTTCAAGAACGCTAGTCCATGTCCACGCTGGGTACAGGTGTGGATTGCTGAGGTCCCCTGCAGCACAGCTGACCCTCTTAATGAACATCAAAGAACAAATACTGCCTTCTGAATCACCACATCCTCCTGCCTGACCTTTCCTCCAAGGTCATCCACACTGCTGGCACCGGATGGCCTCTACCTCTGGTCACCCCGAGCTGCAGCCCTGTCCAGTCCGTCCTCTGGAAGGAGGGGGGGGGTGTCCTTTTGTCACCTTCGAATCTCTCTGTGGGAAATAGTGTTTTTCCTACGATTTGTTTACTTAGAGACAGGGTCTCGCTATGCAGTTCAGACTGGCTTTGTACCTGCTATGTAGCCCAGGCTGGCCTCGAACTCATGGCAAGCCTCCTGCCTCAGCCTCCCAAGTGTTGAGATCACAGGTGTGTGCCACCACGTCTGGCTGAGGGCTCTTTCTTACTCTTTATGTGCCTTTATGTGCCTCTCACACTCTTGTACCTTGTATGAAATTGCAATTACAGATTCTTTTGCCTCCGTGCTGGACATATTCATAAAGTACATTAGCTGGTCAAGACAGGGGATACGATTTAAATACATAATGTACACCTCATACCACTAAATACTACACAGTCAGGGCATGAAAAAGCTGTAATGGCAAATTGGAGTAGGCAACCTGGGGAACCAAACTCCACAGGAATCTCTGGGAGCTCAGGTTTGGGATTCAGAGCCACATTTTATTTCTCTTTCTATTTCTATCAAAGGGCTTCTGAACACATTTGGAAAAATTAGAAAGCCCCAGGAGTTTCAGACTGAAGACACAAACAAAGCACCGTGCCTCCTCCAGGTGCTGCCAGCTTTGGGGCGGCGTCGACCTTTCCCATTGACAGCTGCTTTGCAGGGCCGGGGATGCTCTGAGAGGGGAGTAGCCTGTGTGTACTTAGCCCATGTTAAGCACGTGTCAAAGCCACTTCCATGCTGCACAGTTTTCTGTCGGTGTTGCCTGTCTATTCATTTGTTTAGTAGGTGCTTATTGTGTGCCAATCATGTGCCAGATGCTGTTTGGGCTCTCAGGATACGAGGTCTAAACAGACAGAGGGGAGAGAGTACAGCTCAGGTATAAATGCTCAACGATACGATGTGTGATATTAAAACATCAGGGGGCTAAGTAGGGGCAGAGCACACTAGTGGGAGCTGAAAGGGAAAGGAGAAGGTGGCGTTTGTGCGTTTTAGCGGAGTCCTGAAGGAAGTGAGGGAACAAGCCACAAGGCTGCTGGGGGCAGAATGTTCAAGAACATTCTGGTCAGAGTGGAGCCCCCAAGGGGACCAGGGCTGAAGGACAGCAAGCTGGCCTGTGAGAGGGGTGAGTGAGTGAGTGAGTGAGTGAGGTGTTTGGAGGCCAGGCCGTGTGGGGCCTGCTGGCCTCTGAGAAGCCTTGGGCTCTGAATGGAAGGGGCGCCCGGCCCACGGAGGGTGGCAGGAGAATGACACACTTGAATGTGTTTGCAGAGCCCCTGTGGCTGCGGAGGGGACATTGCTGGCAAGAGGACAGCAGGAAGCCCTGGGGCCTAGACGGAGGTGGTCGTGGCATGTGGCATGCTTGGGACATGAGGCCAGGAGTCTTTGTCCATGGGTCAGATGTGGGATTGAGGAAGGAAGGAGTCAGGCATGACTTCGCTTTTGGCCCGAGCACTCAGGATCCCAGAGGTGCCATTTACTGAGCTGTCCCAGGGAATATTCAGGCGGCCAGGGGCCCTGGGCCAGCAAAGGTGCATGAGCCTCCCAAAGTTGCAAGAGGAGTAAAGGTGGCTCTGGCTCCAGGGTATCAGTTTCTTGTTGCTGCTGTAACAAAATCCCACTCACTGGGTGGAATTAAAGCAAATCGATTATCTTTAGTTCTGGAGCTGGAAGTCCAGAGTCAGTCTTAGTGGACTGAAAGGAGCCAACAGCAGCACCGTGTTCCTCTGAGAGGCTCTCGAGGTGACAGGACCAGGGTGAGAACTTGTTTCCTCCTCTGGAAAGGGGAGCAGTGACACCCCTTCCCCTCGGGGTACAGAGGGCTTCACATGCAACAGCAGCTTGGGGAAAGTGTCAGCAGGAGAGGGTGACGTCATTTACAGCAGCACACGGAGCAGGGCCCTGCCTGTGGGCCTCTCCTAAGGGAGCTGTTTGTTTTGCTTATAGCCAGATGGAGACCCTGGGGGACCCTCGGAGAGCCCAGTCTTTGGATAGGTCGCACACCCCCAGGAAGGATTTGCAGTCGACCAGCTGCCAGTGCCTCTCACTGCCCGGCACGCCCTGCAAGAAGGCACCCCACCGGGCCATCAGCCACGGGGCTAGATGTGCCCAGAGCCCCACCCCATCTTCAGGGGCTCAGGGTGCTGAGGCTGCTGCAGCCCACACTCTAGAGGAGACGAGGATGTTTCTCCTCAGTGAGCACAGGCACCCACCAGACACCAAGAACAAGGCCCAGAGGCAGGCCCAGCAGGGCTGGCTGAAGACCGTGCTGAACTTCTTCCTGCGGACAGGCTTTGAGGAGCCTAAAGACAAGGCCAGCAGGAGGACAAAGGGGAAGGAAGAACCCCCAGATCCCCCTGAGGCAGCTGAGGAGCTGGCCCTCAGGAAGAAAGCCCAGGACAAGAAGGCCAGCCACAGGAAATGTGGTCACAGAAAGCATGGTGCTGAAGAAGACAAGGGAAACCACCACCGAGAGGCAGGAGGCCATGATGCCCGGCCACCCAAGGTGGCTGCCACCTTGCGCTCTGAGGAAGCTGAAGTGGGCCCAGTTGGCAGGGGTGAGCAGACTGGCCGTCCCTGGGGTGACCCACTGTCCCAGCCTGAGGGCCAGGGTGCTCTGAGTTTGCTCCTGAAGCCTCCTGACAGAGGGGAGGTGAACTGTGGGGGCCTTTGTCTGAAGCAGAACAGCACCACGGCCGACTGCTAGAGGCCAAACCACCTGGAGGTCCCACTGTTCGATGGCTGTGTGGCTGGGACTGGTGACTTTCTTCTCTGAGCCTCAATTTCCTTTTCCTCCCACAAAATGGAAATGCAACAGTTGCTGTCTCTGGGGCGGCCACCGCCCATGCAAAAGTGCTCGGTGCATGGTGTTTTATATTACTAAGGAGCCTTCAGTTTGAGGAGCAGGGATGAAAAGTGGCGGGGTGGGGTGGGGTACGAGGGTCAGGGAGGGAAGGTCCCCCCCACGGGTCCACATTCGGGTCCCGGGCTTTGGGCTCTAGACCTTGTTTCTAAACGCGGTTCCGCCAGGCATAAATTGCCGCGTGAGTCTGAGTAAATGGCTGCCCCGTGGAGCCTGGATCATGGGGTGACCCGGTCCCCAGTGCCTTCCTAGCCTGGTGCCCAGCGGCCTCGGTGAACGTCCCAGCCTCCCTGAAGCACACAGAGCTCTGCCCTGCACCAGAGCTCGCTGTGGTGTGACAGGAAGAAGAGACTCTAGGAAGAGCCAGGCTTTGGGGTGCAGGGAAGGAGTTGAGGGGGTTCCTGGCATGAGCCTGTTTTTGAATCAAAATCTTGGCACATCTGAGATTTTTTTGGTTGAGCTTAGAGCTGGCCATGGCAGTGCCTGTGGTGCTTGAATTCTGTGCTGCTTTCTCGTGTAGGTGCAGTCAGGAGAGTGCCGCTGACACACACTCACACCCCCACTCGAGGCACTCCAGGTGGACACGATTCTGGTGGCCCCCAGTCCTTGCGCGCCAAAGGGGCCCGAGCTGGACTCCTGGATGTTTCTCCCCCAGCCACAGGGCCCAGGCTGGAAGAGGAGCCCAGGAAGCTGGACGGTGAGTGTGAGCCCCTCGTGTCCTTTTGTCTGTGGCTGGTGGCTGTCACGTGCACACTCTGATCTTTCCTGGCTTCTGCTGCTTCCGACCACGCTTACTTATTTTAGGACCTCACAGAAGGGAGTCCTAACAATCAGAAAGGCTGCTGGGAAATGTTCCTGCCTTCTGTGCTAATGGGAATGAGACTTTGTCTTTAGACTTGTAAAACGTATTTTATTTTAAAAATATATGGATGAGCAAGGACTGGGGTATGGCTCTGAGGTAGAGCGTTTGCTTAGCCTGTAGGAGGCTCTGGGTTCAATACCCAGCACCATTAAAATAAAATGTGCAGAAGAGTGGAAAGAATAGCTCAATACACATTTGCGTTCTTTGGCTGCTTACGTGTGGATGTGTATCTTTGCAGAATCATTTTAGAATAAAATAAACCTTCTTCTCTGAATACTTAGACACAGGTCCATAAGAAATAAGGCCAGCCTCGGACACAGCCACAGCACCATTATCCCTCCTAATAAATGGGTGATAATGCCCTGCTCCCTGAGTCCTCTGTTTTTAAAAAGCCGGATTTTGAAAGCGAGGAAGTAGAGGAGCCCTGCACCCGTCAAAGAGTAACTACAAAACAGGGTGTTAGTTCTTCTGTAGGGCATTTAGTTACTTTACAGGTAGCGGTTCTCTCACCGGAAAGGGGATCAGCTGGCAGACTGAGGCGAAGAGGAAGAAGCCAGACAGGATTGCTAAGCGGGAGACGCGAGTGAGGCCGGCAGGGACCACAGCAGCCGGGGACAGGGAGTCTTGCCCAGGCCTCTTGCTGTGTAGACAGGCAGGCTGGGCACCCTGCCCTGGGTGAGGCCAGTGGGGCACCGATGGTCTGTGGCTGCTGAACACCCCTGGGCTGTTCGGCTCACACTGCCGACATCCTTCCCTCCTTCCCCTTAGCCGGGCGAGGGGACCCACCATTCCCCCTCCTGGAACTCTGCAGCTTGGAAGACTAGCTTTAGTCTCACGAAGTGTTTCCAGGGCCCAGGCACTAGGATCCTCGTTCCCAGGAAATGAGCTGAGGCCCAGAGAGGATAGGAGACTTAGCCAGTCACACAGCTTCCCGGACCCAGAGCAGTGCCTACAGATATGTGAAGTTGAGGAAAGTTAGTGGGGCCCAAGTTGGAAGGCAGAAAGAGCGCTGAGTGCCTTGGGAGTGACGGGCGCCGTGCTGTCTTCCAGAGGAAGCTGTCATCCAGATGACCGTGGAATTCCTCAAGAAAGTGGGCGACCAGTGGGAGGACGAGGTGAGGAGCAGCACCCCCAGAGCCCCTAATTTTCCTCCTCCTTCCAGGCCCATGCAGGGGCTCAGCACTGTGCTCCCCTTGCCTGGGGCCACCCTGCAGGGCTGGGTTGCCTTCCTCAAGGCTAGGGCCCTGACTCAGTTTCCCTCTTGTTCCCCACAGCAGCTTCAAGCTCCCCAGCCAGAAGTACTACTGCAAAACCCAGAACCGGCCTGCAGAAAGAAGTCCCAGGAGAAAAAGCCGGGCAGCGTCAAGAGAGCCTTTTCCCTGAAGAAGTGCGGCCCTGAGGAGCCCAGGAGAGCTCGTGCTGCTGCCGCCGATGTGCCCAGCCCCGAGGCCCGGCGGCCCAAGAGGCCCAGCTTCCTGCCCCTGTGTGTCCGCGGCCCCTGGCCCTCCACCTCCAGCAGCCCTGGTGAGCCCTCCACCTCCAGCTGCCCAGGGTCTGGTGGTTGCCATAGCAACACTGCACTCCAGCGCCTTCTCAGGGCTGGGATTGGCCACATTCAGGGCTGTCGTCCTGTTCTGATCTCCACCTGGCACTGAGCAGCATGGGAGGGAGCACCGGGGCGGAGAGAAGGACCGGCAGCCGGTGACCTCCCATACCATCCCTGAGGTCCAGGCCGCCCAGCATAACAGCACCTGAGGCCTGGGGAGGTGGTGGAGCCTGAGCCGGGGGAGAAGGGGTCACAGGGGGAGGTGGTCCTGGCCAGGGGACATAATGTCCAGCGCGGAGGTTCAGGCGCACGGGAGGGACAGGCACCTGCTCTTTACCTGCAGCACCTGGGGTGGTGAGGCTGGGAAAGTCAGCTTTCGGGAGCCCGAGGTGGGGTGCTCGGTGTGACCCAGCCGTGGTTTCCACTGCAGAGTCGGGACACCCCACACCCACAGACACACCCAGAGCTCCATTCTGCTTGCCAGGCTCAGAAGGACCGGGAGCCCACGAGGCCCTGTCTTCGGACAGCGATGGCCCCAGTCCCCGGGGGCTCCCCACCTGCACCCAACGTCGGGGACCCGAAGAGGAGCCGCCACTAGACAGAGCCTCGGAATCCAGTCAGTGTCCCGTGGTTCACTCAGAGACCCCTTGGGAGGCTCCTGGCCTGAACCCTCCCCCTTGCAGAAGGGAAACTGAGTCAGAGAGAGGGAGGGGCCTGTGGGCCGAAGGCTGAGGAGGCAGCCCGGGCCCAGTGCTCGACTGTCCTGGGCAGCAGGTGTCATTTGAGGGGGGCAGACAGCACGTGATGGGGGTGCAGGGCAGGTTAGACAGCGTGACCTGAGGGGGGGCCCAGCCTGGGCTCCCACCCCTTCAAGCCACCTGGGCTTGGGCAGGCCCCTTCCCCGCGGGTCCCAGCTTCCTGTCAGGAAGATGGGGACAATCACGGTACTTCCTTCCTGGGGTGGTCGGAGGCTCGGATGAATTGGGCCGGGTCAAGGAGGGATGCTCCACCCTGGAAGCTGGCAGCCCACTTAAGATTTTATCTTTGGCAGAGCCAGGGCTAGACACATTATCACTGTCAGCTCGCTGAAGGGGGCCGGAAAGGCCCTGTCCTGTGGTGATGAAGGAGGGGGCAGGGCGAAAGGGTCTTCTAGGTCAGGGAAGGAGACGTGACATGGTCACCAGAAGCCAGCTGTGCCCTCAGGCCTCCTGTCAGTGCTGTAGCACCCAGGAGGCCTGGCGATGAAGCACCCCAGAAGCTGCCAGAGTGGTAGGAAACAGCCTGACTGCATAAAGCTTCATTCACTAAGCACTCCCATCTGTTCTAGATGACTTCATGCAGAAGATCCTCGCTCTGCTCCAAGATGCAGAGGAGCTGGTGGGACAGCAGGTGAGGGGGACATTGCTGTACCCCCGCCCCTCAGGGGTCCACGCTGCCCTCCCGGCGCTGCTGCCTGACTCAGTTTCTCTCCTCTCCCCACAGCAGCCTCCAGGGCAGGAGACTGAGGCAGCTGTAGAAAGCCTGGCCCCAGCATGCAGGAGGAAGTCCCAGGAGAAAAAGCCCAGCAGCCTCCGGAGAGCCTTTTCTCATAAAAGACACAGCTCCAAGGAGCCCAGGAGAGTGGGGACTGTGGGGGCCGCCACCCCTGAGCCCCGGCCACCCAAGAGGCCCAGCTTCCTGCCCCTGTGTGTTGGCGGCTCTGGTGAGCAGGTCTGGGGTTACCATGGTGATGGGAATTTCCATCTTGCTGCTGCTTTCTGCTCTGGCCGAGTGGCTGGGGACTGTGTCTGACCACACAGGCGCTGAGGCCCACATGTACACAGTGGCTCCCTGACATTTATGGAGCGCCTACTGTACCCCACTGCCTCACATGGGTCTCATTCGGATGGAGGAAGTGGGTTCAGACAGGCTGAGGGAGCCCAGCCTTGCAGAACCGAGGGAAGTGTTCATGGGTGGACTCATCCATGTGGCTGTGGCTTTCTTGACTGCCCTATTCTGGGCTGTGAGGCTCTGAGTCCTTCCAATCGCTCACACTGGTGCTTTTGCCCTCAGACCCTGAAGGCCTGGAGTTCCGGGAGCCCTGGGCCGCAGAAGAGACAGCATCTGGGTTCTCAGAAGCAGCCTCCCAGGCCAGGAGCTGCACACCGGACGGGGGCCATCAGCCGGAGGGAGCACGAGAATCTAGTCAGTACCTCCCCTGCCCTTGGGGGGCTTCGCTTGTGCACAAGTGCCACGGGCTGATCAGCAAAGGGGGGCAGATGCAGGTAGAGACACCTGTCTCTTTTGCAGGGAGGTGGGGGGACCTTGGATGCCCTCTCATGGGTTTGCTTGAATGCTACATATAAGACCCTGGTCTAGCCGAGCATGGTGGTGCACACCTATAATCCCAGCACTCAGGAGGCTGAGGCAGGAGGATCGCTGCAAGTTCAAAGCCAGCCTGGGCTACATAGTGAGATCCTGTCTCAAAAAACCAAACTCCTGGCTTGCTTGGTCTGGTGACCATACTGTGTACCTGGGTAATAGATGGTGGGCGGGGGTGTCATTTGATCTGCAGCATTGGCAGATTTCAGTGGTACAAACATTTCCACCCAGTCAATTTCAAAGTGCCAACAGTCGGCAATGGCTACGCCATACATTTCCTGCCTATTTCCCAAGACCTTCGTGTGAGCACCCAGCTCCCAGTGGGCTGATAACCCAGGTGGGAGGGCACGTTCCTGTGTCAGTGGCCGAAGTGTTCCCTCCTCGCTTTCAAGGCTTGCATTCCCAATGTGGGGAGGCCTCGGTTTCCCCTTCTGTCAAATGGAGCTGACTGTGGGTACTGGGGAGGCCCGGCAGGCCAGAGTCCCTTCTGTCTCCATGAAGCAAACCACAGCAAAGCCCGAGATTAAGGAAAGATTTTTCCATCCCGGCTATAACTGATCTGCATGCCGCATGGCCGAGAAAACACAGTCTTTATTGACGGTGTGTTGTGCCAGTACTCAGCAGGGGGATGTGACACCACCCACGGGCAGCCTCATCCTTCCTTCCTTCCTTTAGAGGAGCTCATCATCCACGAGCTGGTGGCGCTTCTCCAAGACGTGGACGGCGAACTGGCAAAGCAGGTGAGCACTGCCCAGGCCTCCCCAGCCTGGTGCCAGGGCCTCATCTGCCCTCCCCTAGCCCTGGGTTCCTTCCCATCCCCATCTCCACACTGGGTATATCCCTTAACTTCTCTGAGACTCAGTTTCCTCTTTTGCAAAATGGGGGATGTATCGGTCAGCTTTGCTATAGCTTGACACCCACCACTTAAAAGAGAGGTTTAATTTGGCTCACGTTTTAAGGGACTCAGTCAATGGCTAGTTGGCTCCAAGGCAGAAACATCACGGCGGAAAGCAGAGCAAAGCTGCTTAGTTCATGGAGCCAGGAAGCGGAGCAGAGGAATAGCACCAGAGAGGAAGGGTCAAGGGGCCAGACATAGACCCCCAGGCCACGCCTCTGTGGCCCACCAGACGCAGCCACAAATGCACTCCACCACACCCTGGCAGATCCCAAAGCCAATCAAGTTGATAGTATCAGTTCCACCATGAGGGATAATTACCTACTTGACCAAACAATGCCCACTTAGAAAATGCCAGATAAATAGCAGAAGAGGCAAGTGTTCCTTACAACATAGTTTATAACACTCATGTGGCTCCCCTGCCACACAGGACCTCCCGGTCCACATCCCTCACCTGGAGCTCAGCCCCATGGACCACTGCCCTGGAAGTCTCCTTGTGCCAGTTTGAGGGCCAGCAGTGCCGGAATCTCCTCCTCTTCAAGGCCCTTGGTATGGGTGTGCCCCAGTTCTGTAGCATGAGGCTCCCTGCCCTTGAGAAGGAGTCTCCCTGGGGAGACCTTTAGGTTCCACATGAGGGGGACAGTTTACAGATGGGACATTGGTGCCTGTGCCTCGCCCCATCACCCAGGGCCCCTCTGCCGCCTCACGGTAGCCCACGAACACCCTCTGCTTTCCCGGGAGCAACCCGGCCTTTTCTCTTCTGGCTCACCCTGCCACTGTGAGCAGGATTCTGCAGCAGGGAATTTTTGCAGCAGGGGTGGTAGAGGAATTTGACAAGAGGGGGCTTGACCAGGGCAACCGTGCCAGGCTGGCTGCCTGGGGAGGGAGCAACACTAACAGCAGCCTTCATTTCTGCTTCCAGATCCAGAGGCACCCCAGCTTTAAGAGGTGTTTTTACGAGTTCTCAGACCCCTCCCTCAGGAAGCTGGTGGCCACCCTGCGCAGCCAGAAGACCTGCCCGCCGGATGGGGACAGGAGCCTTCTTCCCGAGAGACTCTTCCCGTTTGCCTTTGGCGTGGGTAACAAATATGCTGATGGTCAGAGCCGCACCATCTGCAGCCTCATGGGCTCCAGGGCTCACTTCAGCCAGCACGGCGATGCCCAGGACCCATTCAGGGAGGCCCAGCTGGTGAGAGAGGGCAGGAGAGGCAGCAGCATTGTGGCCTGGGTTCAGCTGAGAACTTGTAGGATTCCAATCAAATGCCACCACCTCACTAGGGCCCCCGGGACAATTCTAACCCTTGAGGACTTTTCTCGCTCCCAGACTGTCGCTGACGACTCCGTGGCTAGTGTCTTCTTTACTCAGCTCTGCTCTCCGATCATAGGCACCTGTTCCTACTGAGCTAAATCCCTGGCCTCCTACATCTTGATATCAGCGTGGGAGCTGGGCTTGGCTACTCTCTTAGCGGCCTTGCTATTATTTTATGGGTTCTCAGCTCTAGACTGTTGTAAAACGTAAATAACAAACGCAGGAAGGTCATATTTCAAATAAGGGGGGCTGAGGTGGATACGAGGGCTCCATGGGCTGTTGGTTTTGGAAGGCTCCCAGACGTGGGTCACGTGACCAGTGAAGATCACTGTCGGCCCCTGGCACTCTTTCTTACTTTCTTTTTCTTTCTTTCCTTTTTTTCTCCCGCAGCACTGGGGATTAAGCCCAGGGCCTTCACACTGACCTACATCCCCAGCCCCTTTTAAATTTTTTATTTTGAGACAGGGTCTCACTAAGTGGCTAAGTTGCCCAGGCTGGACTCAAACTTACAATCTTCCTGCCTCAGCCTCCCAGAGTGCTGGGATTACAGGCCTGCACCATCACGCCTGATTACTTTGTAAGTGGCTTTCATGTTTTGCCGGAGGCTCCCCCACAGGCTCTGAGATATTCCTGTTAGAGGTAACACTTGACACGGATCTTTTAAGAATCCTGAGTTTTCATGTTTTCTGGTGGACTCTGATGAGCACATTTCCTCATCCTTCTCAGAGTCACAGAGGCAATCTGCCTCCCAGCCCGGCCCACAGTGCAGAATCTGCTGAATGAAGGGGTGGCTTTAAAAGAATGAGTTGTTCTCTAGTTGCTGGTGGACAAACAGGACCAGGACTTGTACATGCAAGAGGTCCCCTGGCAGGGCAGACCTTTCGAGACGTTGCTGTCTCGACACGCTCTGTCTTCCTGGTCTTACTGCCCGGTAGTCGGAACTCACAGACGCCCGGCTCTATGCTGGCTTATTTTCCTGGTGCAGACACCGCCTGACCTCAGGCCTCTTTTCTTGGCTTTTCCCCCAGTGTGGGGACATCATGGACAATTTGTCCTCTGGGGTGGGTTAGATAATGTCTTCAGGACTGATGTAAGAGATGCTATGGACCGCAAGGGCAAGGACTCAAGTTTGATCCCTGGTACAAAAAAAAAAAAAAAAGATAACCAAGAGATGCTATGGAAATTTCAGTTTTGACGTCCTTAGTAGTCCTGAGTCCAGCTCTTGGTTTACTAATCATTCATTCATTCATTATTTGCCCACACATTTGTGCAAAGTGCAGCGAGGTGTGGGCAGGCCTGGCCTTTGGGACTTCATGAGTTAGTGGAAGAGACAAGTGTTCACTGATGACAAAATTTAATAGCAATCAAATTCCACACGTTTGGCAGCTGAGGTTGACAAAACATATTAGTCCTGGGGGCTCCCAGGAGGTGGCAGGCATTGATTTTGGCCAGCAGGGCTGGGGAGGCAGTGGATGGGGAGGGAGGTCGGGAACAGCCCTGTAGCAGTGGCAGCCAGAGGTGGTGCTGGCCCACAAATCGCTGGGCTGTGGCTACACCTGATGTCCCTTTCTCCCCCCAGAACCTCACAAGTCCCGAGTGTCAAAGTCCAGATTAGAAGCGGCGCCTCAACTCCAGTACCTTGGACCTGGCCGAACAATTGGCACCTTTAGCCAGGACGCCCTGAAGATGCTGTCTAACTTCCTGACCCCGAGCTTCACAAACATCCCGAAGACCATACAGCGTTGCCTGAAAATGTTCGAAGTCTTTGGCCATGAAACTGCACCTGGAGACCTCCCTGGGGAGTCGCTCTGGCTGGCAGCGGGGAGACCCCCTCCTGGCCCTCTCCTCAAATGCCAGGCCACCATGCAGGAGGCCGCCCACACTTCCCCTGTGTGGCCAGAGAAGCTGATTCCTTGTCCCTCTCCCATCTCATGGGACTTGCTAAGAACCAGGGAGAAAACAGATGTGAAGAATGATGTAAAAAGTCCCAAAATTATCCACTGCCATGCCCAGCGTACAGATACGCTATTTTTACTAGAGCCAGCTCTGGGCAGTTTTCGGGAAGCGGAGGACTCGGGGTGGCTGCAGTGTGTGAGAGGTGCTCAACACATCCTGGGCAGTGGATCCGGAGACTCATGATGAGTTTCCAGCTAGTGGCAGTAAAGGGTCTTGAAAGGGTCTCCTTTATTCTGGACTTGTATTTGCATTTGCACAGAGGTGAGCTGTGGGATGACAGAGGCTCTGGCTTCTTCACCACTGAGCGGTTTCAGGTGGGCCACAGGTCCAGGTCTACGTGCAGGCTGCCGGGCTCCAAGCAGACCCCAGCTCCCGTGCACAGGCCCTGGGACATGGGCCATAGGGGATAGGGTGTGCAGACCCACATGAGCCTGAGCCAGCACTGGGGCAGAGTTAGGGACTCACCAACTCGCCGCCTTCCTCGCTCTTGAGAGGTGGGGAGGGCTGAGGACTTTGTGGGACCGCTGTGGGTGGAAGTCGGACCGCGGAGACGGCCACCTTCACGGAGAAGGTCAGGAGCCTTTTGTACATAGTTTCCTATTCAAGCGAGGAACTTTTGTTGTATGAGTCCCTGATGCTGGCATCTGAGTCTCATTTTTTTTTTTAACTGCATTATTTGAGCAAATAAAGAAATCGATTGTGCAGGGCGTGAGTTGGTTATTCTATGGAGGCAAGACAGACTCCCCACCTGCCGCACCCAGGACAGCTCCTCGCCTTCGGGGCTGTGGGCTCAGCCTCCCTGGCCCGCCTGGAGTTCTCTCTGGACCCTGTCCCTGCGTCCCACACTTGGGTGGTGAATCCCTGTGACAGGAAAAAAAATAAAGGTGCTGGGTTGAGTGTCAGGCGACCCGGGTTTGGGGCAGCTGCTCACGGGGTGCTGACCTTGGGGACAAGACCCTTGCTTGCCCCACCTGATGTTCTGCAGCTCTGTGACTCTCACGATTCATTATAATCCCCCAAAGGTAGGCCAGCCCTGATTTCTTATTACTCCCCAAACTCTGGTGCCCAAATTCTGCCCTCAGAACGATGGAGGACGCCCTCCCCCTCCAGCCTGCATCAGCATCTTCTTTTCAAACCTGGGTCCATGCCCCGTCCTTGAAGGTTCAGGTAACACTCGGAGGGGAGCAGAAGAGGGTGTTGGATTTCTCAGCTCAGAGAGGAGACCCAGGCTCTGAGGGCCCCTCCCCTACACCCAGGACGCTTTATGGGGGCGCCCAGTGCAGCGGGACCCTGTGGCTTTGAAAGTCTGCTGAAAGGTGGGCGCGACTTCATGACACAACCTAGTTCCCTCCCCTGAGAAGTCAGAGATGATGGGGCCGGTTGAGTGGGAGGTTGTAGGTGTTTTTCAGACCACTTTGTGGGGCAGAGCAGCATCTGGCCTTGCCTTTGGGACTAGCAAGGCCTCTCGGTCTAAGCTCATGGCAGCCTCATCAACACTGACCTGTGCATGTTGGTTACAGAGAGGAGAGCAGCCGGGTGTGGTGGAAAGCACCTGTAATCCCAGTGCTCTGGGAGGCTGAGGCAGGAGGATCACACGTTTGAGCCCAGCCTGAATAATTTAGCACAAGTCTGTTTCAAAAAAGGGCCGGGGACATAGCTCAGTGCAAAGGCCCTGAATTCAATCCTCCGTACTGGGGGGGGGGGGGGGGGGGGGGGGCAGGGACACAGACAGACAGCCAGAGACACAGAGAGACAGAGACAGAGAGAGAGACTAACTAGGGTTGGCAGATCTAGCCAATAAAAATATGATGCCCAGCTAAATTTGAATTTCAAATAAACAACAAAGAATTGCAGTATGAGGGACACATTTCTACAAAAACAATTACACGGTGTTGATCTGAAGTTTTAATTTAACAATATGTCCTGTGTTTTATCTGGAACTAATGCAAGAATAATCTTCTTAATTGCCTCAAAACGTGGGAAATTAACCAAAATTTAGAGAAACCTGCAGGGGATTTATTGATTCTTGTAACAGAACTGATATTAAAGCACGCGGATTCTGCACAAAGGTAATAGTTATGAGTGAGTTCGATTCCCAGGTGTGCCTGGGGACAAGACAGAGCCCCTCTGTCCCCTGGGTGGATTCCGGGCCACAGCGATGAGAGGCCTGCACCTGGGGACCACTCCAGTCCCCACCACGTCCCCAGCATGGAAACCTTCAGGTTCTGCCCTCGACCGGCCTGGGTGCAGACTCAGTCAGAGCAGGTGAGGAATGGGAGACGCCTGTGACGGGATTCTCCCCGGGCCCCATGCCCACCGCGTCCCCTGCGTCCCCTGTGGTGTCCTGCTAGACGTGACTCCCCCAGCTTGGCTGGCCACAACCTGCACCTGCCCCCCTCGACCTCCCAAATCTGCTTTGCCGATTCTTCCACCTTTGCGCTGGGATTTGCATCCCGGGATTTGTTAAGCAAATGCAGCTGGGGTGCGGGGAGCCAGGGATCCTAGTCGCATTGTGGCTGGGGAGCAGCTTGGGCTCTCTGGGGAGCTGGGCGCATCTTGTCTTGGATGGGCTGCAGAAATCGAGGCTGACGGTGTCTTTCTCCCAGACCATTGTCACTGGGGGGTGGACAGCAGACGGTCTGCTCTCGTTGGTGCCTGGGAGGGGACATCTGGTGTCCCGCAGGCTTGACATTTTCCACAGTCACAGTGATGGCCTTGACACTGCAGGGCCATGGGGGCTTTGAAAGACCCCACAGCCCAGGCCACATGCCAGGCTGACTCCAGTAGTTCCAAGGGGACCCTTGGGCACCCGGGGGAATGAGAAACAAAATAAAAGAGGAACTCGCTCTCTGGACACCATGGGGAGCAGCAAAGGGAGTCTCTGGCTCAGTCCTGCCGGACCTCCGAGCTTTGCCCCATGGACGGGGTCCCGAGGAGGAGGGAAACTGCAGTGGAGTGTGAGGGGGCCCCGGGAAGTGGGGAGCTCTCTGGACAGGAGCTGCTCAGGGAACTGAGCCCAGGCACTGTCCGGGTGGCTCAGGCCTGGGAAGGTGTCAGCAGCCGGGTCCCCAGGCCCTCGGGGCCACTCACGCTGTCCGGCTCCAGCTCAGGTTTTCTCTCTGGGCTCACACCTTCCTAGGCAGAAGTCATGGAAGTCATGGTTTCTGAGTCCTCCATCTCCAACCTCCCCAACCTCAGCCCCCCAGGCAAGCTGATGCAGAGAAATTGGAAATCTGGGTTACAGCAAAAGCTGATTTTGGGGTTCACAGGGATCCTCGGCTACTCTGTAAGTGGTGTCTCCACTGGAAGGTATTTGGGACCTCACTCAGTTTATAAAGTTCACTTGGTGCTGAATTCTCCAAGAAGGGTGTGGGGTGGAGGGATCTCTAGAGATCACTGAGTACAGTTGTGCAGATTGTGCACTGGACAAGTACGGGGCCATGTAAAGCGAGTATTCAATTCATGGACATACAAGTGTCTCTGTAATTATTGGTAGTTCAGTCCACTGCCTTGTTCTAAGAAAACCAATACAGCAAATTTCCAGCTGCTGGTAGTCAAGTCCCTCAGGAAAGGCACTATTTCCCCAGTGCTTATGGGATGGCATTGACTTTGACCGTGACTGGGGGGGGGGATGCACCTGGGTGAACAGGCCGGGGGGTCACCACGGCAGCCTGGGACAGGACAAGCGGCGTCTGTCCTGGGGGACACCCCCGGCCAGCAGACTCTTGGCTCCGGCTGGGATGAGGCCCGTAGGGGATCCACACGGTCTCAGGGGCGGAGAGCGGAGAGAAGTCGGGTGTGCAGGGCGCAGACCTGGATGTGGGAAGCACGGGACGCAGGGTGAGGGGACCCGGACAAAGAGGGGCATCGGAAGGCCAGGCTCCGAGGCCGCCTTCCGGGCTGTGAGACTCTGGGATGGCGGGGCCTCTCTCCGCCCCATCCCTCCCGAGCCGCTGCCTCCCAGACTGCTGGGCAGCCCCGGCTCCTGGCTCAGGAAGTCTCCGCTGGCCCCAAGAACTGGTGGATCTCCATGCTTTTGGTACTGGGATGGAATCCAGGGCTTTCGCTTTGAGCTCCATCCCCAGCCCTACCTCGGGCCAGAGCTCCGCAACTGAGCTGCCTGTCACGTGTCGTTCTCCCTCCGGGCCGCTGGGGGCGCTGTAAAGGCTGCATATCCCCCAACGCCCACCAAGAACAAGGTCTAACTGAAAGCTGGCTGAAAAATAGGAGTCAGTGAATATGAGTGCGTGCGAGGGAGGGACCATAGACCCGTCAGGCGCTGTGCGATACTCAGGTTAAAGTCAGCCTTCGCCCTGGACACAAGGAGTGAATGGGTATAGGTCAGGTGTCAAGTTCGACGGTAGCTTGCGCTGCCTGCTGTGGACCCGGCGGACGGGAGCAATACCCACTGAGCCCTGCACGTGGAAAGCTGCAAGGTTAAAGCCTGGGCTCTAATGAGAAGCCAGGACGTGACACGGGGCCACTTACAGCAGCAGGGAAGGGGCGGGTCATGCCCTAGACCGCCTGAGAGCCGCCCTCTGGTGCAGGTGACATTTAAGTGTGTTAGTTTGCACCAGTTTGAAACCATACAAAAGGCAGCTCCACAATCTCTTTATCTACGGCCCTTGGTGGCAGAGGCTTTTGGGAATTTAGAATTTTTTACATTTTAGAAAAAGAAAAATAATGCGTTGTTCATTAGTTTTGTATTCCCTGAAGTAGGGCCTGGGGGTAGAGCACCCCACAATGAAAAACATTATTACTTCTGCGGCAGGGATTTGAAAATTCATACTAAAATAATGGGATAAATAAAAGCCATAAAAAACTTCACATCTGAGCAGGGAGTGATGGCCCACACCTGCAATCCCAGCACTCTGGGAAGCTGAGGCAGGAGGATGGCAAGTTTGAGCCCAGCCTGCACAAGTTAGTGAGTTAGAGAGACCCTGTCTCATAATAGGGAAATCCACTCTCTAGTTCATTTGCTGGTGGGAGTATAAAACTCTATAATCCCATGGGACTGGGATGTAGCTCAGTGGTGCCTCGCCTGCCTTGCAAGCGCAAGGCCCTAAGTTTGATTCCTGGTTCTGAAAAAAACCAGAACAAAACCATGTAATCCCCTTGAAGACAATTTGGTAACATGCGTAAAAACTTCCCCATATCTTTGGACCTAGCAATTCCAGTTCTAGACCCATACACCATGTGGACAGCTGAGCCTGTCTGTACAAAGATGTGTTCATGGGGATATTTATGCCAGCAATGTTGATTATGGCAAAAAGTTGGAGACAGTGTAAACATCCATCTAGAGGGGATTGGTAACATATGACATGACATGCTCACACCCACAGAATACTATGGATCTGTTACAAACTCAATAAATCCATATTTGCCAGAATCACAATATATGGTTTGTTCAAAAGCAGGCAAGAAAACAGTATGTAGCATATGGTGTCATGCTCATAAAATAAAAGTACATGTGTGTCTGCTATGCTTAGAAAATATGGAAGGATATTTACCTACATATTAACATATGGCTGCTGGTGTTTCCAGAAAGGTTTACTTTCTATTTATGCTCCTCTAAATTTGACACTATTCTTGATAATGAGTACATATTGGGTTTTATTTTTTTTGTACCTGGGATCAAACTCGGGATCTTGCACTTAAGAGGCAGGAAGCGGAACCACTGAGCTAAATCCCCAGCCCATATTGGGTTTTAGAACCAGAGAAAGCAATAAAATTGATCATTTTATAAAAATGTAGGTATAAAACAAAATATACAGATAATTTCTCTTTCAAGCAGGCTAAAATAGAGACTGCCCTGTCCTGAATCATGAAATGACTTGTTTCTTGTACCCACAATCACTGTGTCCCGTATACTGTTTCCTGTAGGAGGAAGATATCGCACCTATTTATTTTTTTTAGTACCGGGGATCAAACTCGGGACCTTGCACTTTCGAGACGGGCGGCGGAACCACTGAGCTAAATCCCAGGCCCAGCACCCATTTTGAAGATCCAGAAACTGAGGCTCAGAGAGACCAGGTATCCTAACCACGACCACTAAGTAAGACTGGTGAGCAGGCACTCTGTGCCAAGGATGCCTGACTCCAGAGCCCAGGCTCCGTGCCCTCTTCCTCCTGGTCCCCACTGTGCTCGAAAAGTGCCTGCAGTCAGTTCCTGAAGCTGCCGCTCTGGGGACTTAGGACGCCTTAGTCACACTCACTGCACTTTGCTGTTAGGTGTTTTGGCTGGAGGATGTCTTGGGAAGCCTTTCCGGGAGCTGCTTGTCTTTTGTTTGTTCCTCTTGAATACTTTGTTCGCCCAGTTCGAGTCTGCAGTGGGGCTCTCCCTGGCAGAGAGGCGACACCACCCGCAGTTTGTTAGGGGCCTGCCCTGTGTCTGCCACTGTCAGGCTGCCCTGCTGACTCGGAGGCAGACGCCCAGTGCAGCCTGACCCCGGAGCGCCTCATTGTTTGCTTATCCACAAGTATTCCTCTGAGTGATGTCATGCCAACTTGGCAACTGAAACCCCCACTTTCATTTGCTTCTGGATAGATGCAAAAAGTTTACATTATGTGAAATTAATGCATCCTTAATGCCTAAGCTCAAAATTACTAAATTTATACAAATTGTCTAAAAGTTTTTCACATAAATTATCTGCCACGTAGGAAGCAGGTAGGTACATTTTAATAAGTTGGATATAGTATGGGGTGCAAACATCAAAATTAAGAATGTCTTGCTGCTCCCCCAATCCTGCAGCTGTGACCACGGAGGGCCTGCCACAGTCAGAGCTGTCCCAGGGAGGGACCAGGCCACAGCAAGGGGGAGGCAGAGGCAGCTCTGAGCCACGCTCTGCACTGCCACTGGTTCAGGGGAGCCTGGGTAATGTAGTCCCCAAGAGATGCTAAAAAACTCCAGATTCTCAGGCCTGTCATAATTGCTCCAAAGATAATAAAGGAGTACAGTGGTACCTTGGTTCATGAACACTTCTGTCTGCAAACAATTCAGTTCTCAAACAAGAGCATTTGACAAAATTTTGCTTCCATTCACAAACTCCACACTGGTTGACAAACAGAACCTTGGTCACCTTCCCCAAGATCCTAAAACAAATTAACTTCGTGAACCGAAGTACCAGTGTACATGTCACACAGCCAGGACAATTGGTGCACATAATAAAAGAGATTTCCTGGGATGATCAACTAGGAATATCCAGACCTTAACACGGAAATAGGAGATCATTTGGACTAAGGCAGCCCCTGGAGAAAGGCCGGTTGGAGAGAAGTGAATTTGTATCAGGCAGGGCAACCTAAGGCTGGGCTAGGCTGGCTGCTAACCCTCTCCCACTGCAGCCTCACCAGAGAATGAAATACGGGGGCAGCGGTGTGGATATCTCCCGCGGCACTCAAAGGAGATGCATCTTCAGTGGTACCAGAGAGAATTACAAGAATGGCCTCTTCCATGCACACAGGCTCATTTCCGCTGGGTGCCCTCATTTGGGAAGAGAGAAAGGGCTGGACTGTGAGCTATGAAGGGGTGGACTGTAAGTGCACACACTAGAGCAGGACCCCGTGTGCTAGCACAGCTAAAAGGGTGGAAAACATCACCTAGCTGGGCCCCCTTAGCCAGGACGAAGGGAAAGAATACGTTCCCAAGCTGAGGGTGTAGCTCAGTGTGAAGGCCCTGGGTTCAACCCCCGGGCAGGGAAAAAGCCACATACGAGTTCCTGACAACGGAGAAACTTACATCACATTGGACTTGCTGACAGTTTCCTTCACATTAGTTGGAGCTGTGGCACTTTTTGGATTTGAAGAGGCGAGGAGAGCTAAGCAAAAAGGGAGGAGACATGAGTGAGATGGGAGGCGTACTTGGTCACTTACAAAGAAACAAGAGTGAGTGGGTGAGCACGTGGGCTGAGAGAGTTTCTCAACCTCAGTACTGTGGCCACGAGGGTGAGATAATTAATTCTTTGCTGGGGGGCTGTCTTGTACACTGCAGGATACTCAGCAGCATCCCTGGCCTCCACCTGCTAGGCAACAACCACAGAAATCTCCAAATGTTGCTAAATGTCTCTCCCAGACAAGAACTGCTGGATGATCAGGTTGCACAGGCATCTGAAGATGGCCTTTATGTTCAGGTGTGAGGTAGCAAAGAAATGCCTTGCACTGAGCTGCATCTCCAGCCCTTTTAATTTTCTTTTCTTTTTTTTTTTTTTTGGTACCAGGGATCGAACTCGGGACCTTGCGCTTGTGAGGCTGGTGGCAGAACCACTAAGCTAAATCCCCGGCCCTAATTTTCTTTTTTTAAAAAAAGTTTAAGACAAGGTCTCTCTAAATTGCCTAGGCTGGGCTAGAACTTGCAATTCTTCTGCCTCAGCCTCCAAAAGTGCTTGGATTATAGATAGGTGCATCATGCCCAGCTTTGGCTTGTTTTCTGGCTCTTAATGTCCTTGGGTTGGGTCTTACTGTGATGAAAAGAATCGAAGTACACCTATTGCAGAGAAGAGGGGTCACCTTAGCCTTGAGGCACGTCCCCAAAGATGGAACCTTGCTGCCCTGTGCTGCCTGCTGGAATAACAGTGGAAGTTCACCTTCAGTCCATCCCCTGGGTCCCTCTCCCCTGCCCCTACACAGCCATTTCCAGCGGCCATGCCCATGTCCTCTTCTAACTGAATGTTCTCAAACTTTCCTACTCTGCACCTGAATATCAAGACAAACCGAAATGTCTGCTCTACTCCATCCCAGCCAATCCCACCAACTGCAATCATCAAAATCCTGGCCATTTTAACTCACCTGTCACCCCCTAAAAGCCTCTCTGTCCCCCTGAGAGAAGCGGTCTTACTATGTGAACACCCTCAGCACTGTTTTTGTTTTTTGGTTTTTTTTGGTTTTTTGGTACCGGAGATTGAACTCAGGACCTTGTGCTTTCAAGGCAGGTGGCAGAACCACTGAGCTAAATCCCCGGCCTCTCAGCACTGTTTTTGTTAGATATGTGCACTCAATATTTGTTTCTGAGGTCAGTACCGATGCTGGAGAGATTTCCTGGGCATAAGGAATAAGAACAGCTCACCCTGGCACCCCCTATAGCAGTGCTTCTCAAACTATCTGTAGTGAAGAAGCAGTTTTTAAAAAAAATATATAGACCACCAGGCATGGTGGTGCATGCCTGTAATCCTAGCACTTGGGAGGCTGAGGCAGGAGGATCACTGCAAGTTCAAGGTAGGCCTGGGCTACACTGTGAGTTCAAGGCCAGCCTGAACTACATTGAGAGACCCAGTCTCAAAAAAATGTGGTATTAAAAAATACGTAGGGCCAGGGATTTAGCTCAGTGGTTCTGCCGCCTGCCTTGCAAGCGTAAGCACCCGAGTTCAACCCCTGGTATCAAAAAAAAAATCTGTAGACTATGTATAATGGACTAGTGCCCTTGGGAAGTACCTCTGTAGAAAAGTGATCGGGCTTCTGGTTGCCATGCAATCGGATCGCTATTGCCATGTCTAAGTGCTTACTCTGAGTCTTCACCTTCATCTCATGTGAACTTGAAACAGTGTGGAAGCTGGCCCTGGTCCGAGGGCCACTCTGAGTATCACAGCCAGCACGGTGGCTTTTGCAAGAAAAATCAGCTGCAACGGCAGTTCAACAGTTCAAACGTGACTAGGCCAAAGAATCACGTGATAGGCTTGTAAAAAGGCCAGACAGTGGAGGCCCAGCGCCAGAGGCCGGGACTCTGTCCATCTGTGGAAGGGCCAGGGAACTGTCATTGCCAACAACTCCCCAAATGATACTTTTGCTGCCCTTGGGGGAACCACCTGCTCCAGAATCACTGTAGCAAAGGAACAAATGACAACTGTGCTGCCCCCTTGTGGTGGTCTGAGGTTATAACATGCAGAGCTGCTGAAGATCACACCCCTGTGTTGTCAGAGATTACTGACAGCAGGAAGCCTTGAGAAGTCAGGAGGGTCCCTACCTCGGGGTTGCTCTGGGCCTAGCAACTCCACGGGTGGCCGAGCAGGTGACGCTGATGGACAGCCTCGGGGTGACGTTGGAGGTGCAGGGACAGCCGAAGGCCTTGGGGACGTAGATGTGTTGAATGGGACTCCAGATGGTTGTACCTGCTGCCGAGGTGACACAAGTGACCGCCCAGGGGGTACAACGGGTGGTGATGACCCAGGTGTTGAGCTGGGGATGAAGTGCCCAGGTGCTAAGTCACCTGGAGAACGTGGCAGTGGTGAGCCCGGCAGCAACGGAGGTGACGGCTTGAGTGAAGAGACAGGTGACCCCAGGGGCCCCTCACTCATGGGCTCAAGCATCTGCACAGGTGGGGGCGCAGATGGGTGGCTGCCCTTTCCGGCCCCCCGGGGAGCCCAGTGTGCATGGAGTGGAGCAGGCTCCTCTGGCCGGGGCCAGGGGCTCTGGGGACACTTAGGGCCCAGCGCCAGCTCTATCTGGGAGTACACCTCCACGCGCGGGAACATCACGCTCCTGGAGGGCGAATTGATGTACACAGCATCTAGGAAAGACGGCAGCATGGTCACAGGTGCTTCCGGCCCTGCCTCCCCGCGACAGCCCGGCACCCCACCTGTTCACAGCTGCGAATCCTTGCTCTACTTACTTGAAGTTATAGTGACAAATGTGACGATTCTTGAAACTTTTTGTTTTTTAGATTTTTTGATTGGTGCATATTAGTATACAGAATAATTAGATGCAGTGATGGTATAATGGTAGAGGCCTATAATGTATTTGGATTATGTTCATTCCTGTTAACCCCCTTCTCCATCACTGAAAGAGCACCTTCTAGTCTCCTGTCCTTTCTTCTCTGCTTTCATAGGTTCCTGGATTCTTGGAACTTACTGGGTTTCATGGGAAGGGCACACAGTGCTGCCAAAATAACAGAAAGAACCCTAAGAAATCACTGTGGACTTCAGTTAATAACGGTGTGTATATTCATTCACTCATTGTAACCAAACCATATCATACCTGTGCTGCACTGTAACACCTGACAGAGTGGGGCATTAATACTAGGGTGGGAAGAGCACAGAAACACCCTGCCCTATTTCACAGTTTTTTTATAAATCTAAAACTATTATTAAAAACAAAGCAAAGCAAAAAAACCAAAACAAACAAACAAACAAACAAAAAGCTTATTAAAAGTCTAGTGGGGAAAATGAGAAAGAAGTTAAATAGACACTTCACCAAAGAAGATATAGTTGGCAAACAGGCAAATGAAAAGATGCTCAAAATCATTAGGCATCAAGGAAATGGAAATTAAAACCATGATAAGATACTACCACACACTGTTAGAATGTCTAGCATTGAAAGACTCACTATGCCAAGTGTCGGTGAGAATTTAGGGAAACCCAACCTCTCATCTGATACTGGTGGGAATGTAAAATGTCACATGGTTTTGAGAAACAATTTGGCAGTTTCTTAAAGAGTCACACATATATTCTGGTTATATACTTAAAAGAATTGGAAAGAAAATCCTGAGGAGCAGGACATAACCTATGTGTCCACCAACAGATGAATGGATAAAGAAAATACAACCTTAAGCAGGAAGAGAAATTCTGTCACATTCTACAGCATGGATGAACCCGAGGACACTGTGAGCAGTGAAACATCAAATACTGTCTGCTTCTGCTTCTATGAGATATCTAAAGCAGTCAGTGGGAACAGTGCTCTCTTCAGCAGCACATGTACCAAAATCAGAACCATACACAGAAGATCAGCCTGGTCCCTGTGCAAGGGTGGCGTGTAAATTTGTGAAGCTGTCCCTATTTTTATCAACCATAAAGAAAGATAAATTTGAGTCCTTTGTAGGGAAGTCAGACCATAATGCTAAGGGAAATAAATCAGGCACAGAAGGTTAAATATCACATGGTTTCTCTTATATGAGAAACCCAAAGTATATATAATTTAAAAAGCAAAATAGGGCCGGGAATGTAGCTCAGAGGCACCACGCCTGCCTGGCAAGCACAAGGTCCTGAGTTTGATCCCTGGAACTGAAAAAAAAAAAAAAAAAAGCAGCAAAATAAATGACAGATATAAAGAAACAAGGAAAGAGACTTTTGTGGAGGGGGGAAGAGACCTGGGGGTGAGGGAGACAGGAGGCAGGGGAGGGGACAAGGCCATACAAAGGACCCCGATGCAGTGTGTATATGTGCAAATTCCCCAGATAGAGTGTGGTTCTTAGGTGTCACAAATCTCTACAACAAAACACAGTGGAAAAAGCCCTCATGGAGACAAAGTGGAAGGGTGGTTACCAGCGGGGGGAGCAGGAAAAACAGGGCATGGCTGACCACCGGGATCGAGGTTCAGGTTGACAGATGAAAAGTCCCAGTGTTCTGTCACACACCGATGTGAGCACAACTAATGCTGCTGAGCTCATGCTGAGAAGTGGCCATGACAGACGTGTGTCTTTTACCACAATTAAAATATGTGTGAGTGAAATACGCACGTACCAAGCAGTCCGGTTATTCCACTGCTCGGTCTTTAGTCAAGGGAAAGCCAAGTGTCCAGGCAGAGCCTTAGGCGTCAGTGTCCTGGCGGCCTTGTCCTGCGTAGCCCAAAGCCTGAAACCACCCGGGAGCCCAAGCGAGGCTGGAGGATACAGGGGCTGCGGTGTTTTCAGGCGATTGGAATGGAAGGTGAAAAGGAAAGGCATGAACTATTCATATTTTCCACAACATGGAGGAATCTCAGGAAAATTACGCAGAGCCAAAGGACCCAGATAAAAGAGAGATCGATCTGTAAGGCTATGTTTACCCAGAGCTCTGGAAAATGCAAATTAATCTATGAGGACAGGAAGCAGACTTGAGCTGGCTTGGAAATGAGGGGGCAACAGAAGGAGACTGCGGGTGATGGATTGCTCGCTGGCTTGATTGTGGCAGGGCCTTCACAGGTGTAGGGTATGTGTGTGTGCAAACTCATCTGGCTGTGAAAAAGAGGGAGGGAAGAAAGATAAGGAGGGAGGGAAGGAGGGCCGAGGCGGCCTCTTGAGCACACCCGGATGCTGGGTGGGTACCTAGGCCTGGCACCCGCTCACTGCCCGCACTGCTCCCAGTGTGGATTTCTCCGGTGCCAGCCAGCGGTGCCCTTGCCTCAGGCAGAGGGACTGCCTGGCAGCAGGAATAATCAGGTGGATGCCAGTCCTTGGGAGGGGGGAGAGCATGAGATGAGGAGTCGAAGGTGACATCTTTCGGGGTGCAGCTTTCTGCTGGAGGCGACCCCCACCCAGAAATCAGGCAGGGATCAAGAGTGGGGCTCTGGGCACCAACCGAGGTTTCTCAGGAGGTATCTGGGGCTCCTGTCCACATGTGGGGCCAGAGGAAGATGGGGTCCCAGCACCCCAGGAGGACTGAGGTGGGGTAACCTGTGTGCAGCACGCATGCTCGCCTGAAACCCGCACCCTGCAAGGGCTGCTGGACTGGCAGCTGAGTGTCTGGTGCTGGGCTGGGGTTGGGGCAGGGGCAGTGAGGCCGAGGTCCATCCTGCACCCGTGCTCCCCCGGACTTGAGAGGACTAAAAGGGAAAAGCCTTCTGGGCCAAGAGGCGGGTGGGAGAGGCGTGCAGTGGCCGGGCTGTGCCGAGGTGTATCAGGGTCTCCTGAGGCATGGAAGCGAGTCTGCTCCAAAACTCAGCTCTCAATCACTTTTTCTTTTTTTTTTTCCCAGTGCTGGTGGTGGGACCCAGGGCCTTGTGCAAGCGTGGGGCGAGCGCTCTGCCCCTGAGCTACATCCCCACCCACCGAAGCCAAGTCTTAGATCAGGGGCCTCCACACCCCGGGCCCTCACCACCCACCACCCTGGCTCCCCCAGGGTGCTGCCAGCACTTCCTACTCCCACAGCGCCATGGGTGAGGCCCCTGCCAGCACCCGGGACACTGCTCAGGGCACCCGTGCTTTGCACATTTGGGGTTCGGCCCTCACAGCTGCCACCTGCATGGATGGGGGGGCCCTGTCACCAGGGCGGGTGGACTGGACTGGCCCTGGCGTGAGGCCCTCAGTAGGAGCTGCCCCCCTGTGGGCCCTGGTGCTGAGGATTTGTGTGTTTTGCTCCTTTAACCTCCCAGCAAAACTCTGAGGTGAATTCTGTTATTAGCCCACTTTACAGATGAGGAAACTGAGGCCCCAGGAGACCAATCCAAACCCTGCACTTAGTGGGTATCAGTAGCAAGGATCAAACTTTTCCTAAAAAGGAAACCCTGAGAGGGCAAGCAATGATCCCAGAATCACACAGCTTAGGGGGTGGGGTCGGGCCTGGGCCTACTTGCTCCAGGCCCAGGTTCTCCCCATCCTGCTGTCCTGTCCCCCAAGATCCCAGCCCCCTTGTTGGGAGAAAGGACTTGGAAGAAAGTAAGGAGACAAGATAAAGGCAGCCGGAGAAAGCAGGAGGCAAATCTGAAGAAGGAAAACAGAGCAAATATAGCCCAGGAAGAAAAGTTTGTTCACCCTTTAATCTCACCTCCTGAGTATTTTTTTTTTTGGTACCAGGGATCGAACTTGGGTCCTTGCACTTATGGGGCAGGTGGCGAAACCACTGAGCTAAATCCCCAGCCCCATCCTAAGTATTTTTAAAGCTACATACACAAAGCATTCACGACACCATTACTTACAACAGGGAATATTCAGAAACTCAAAGATATGAAGTCCAGGTTTCTGTGCAACTGTGATGGAATATTATACAACTCTGAAAAACCACATGGCAACAGAGAAAGCTCCTGGGAGGGCACTGGGTAAGTGCCCTTCCATCTAGGAGTCCTTTTGTCTGAAGCCCTGTTCCATCTAAGGAGCTAATTCTAAAGCTGGAAAAGGTCCTTTCCTTTCTTTTAACAAAGATATTTGCCAGGCCTTCCTGGAGCCCGAGTGTTTAACATGTGCCCTTGGAGTCATTCTGCCCCGATAGAGCCCAGAGGGGACCCAGACACGCGACCCTTTTCCAAACCACCACAGGCCAAGGGCCCTTGTCCCTGACTGGTCAATTAATTCGTCCCTCGAAATCTTGCACAGATTCAAACTTCTCACGTTGATTGAAAACAAGGGAAAGACACAGGAGTGAAAGAAATGAGAGCAAAATGAGATTCTCAGCAGAGATTTGAATACGAATTTCCTAAGTGCAGGTCTGAAATCCAGAAATCGGCCCACAGTTGGGTCCTTGTCCCCGTTTCCAGCTCTCCAGGCCAGAGGTGAGGGCTGCTCCATCCTCAGCCTTCCACTTTCTGTCCCGGTTCCGCTCTGCAACCCCGCTTCCCCCGCAGCCCCCACCGCCGGGGTACTCACTCAGCCGCCTCAGGTATGCCACCGCGTCCTCGTAGCCTCGGTAGTAGTAATCCTGCAGGATCTGGGGGTGTGGGCACCAGAAAACAACCACGCTGCGGCGCCAGAGAGTGCCAGCCCCTTCCCACCCAGAGCTGCTCTTGAACTTTATTTGATGGACTTTAAAATGCACCCATCCAGGGCCCATCGCTCGCTGTCTGCTGAGAACTGGAGAGCAATTCCTGACCGGCAGAGGCCCCAGTGGCACTGTGTTAGCATCTTATGCTGTTCACAGTGCATCCTCAGCCCCCTCTGTATGCTTACGGGAGAACTGGAGAAGATGCATTTGGGCCATGGGACAGGCAGAGTTTGGGGTCTGGGTTCAAATCCCAGTACTACCACTTATTGGCTATGTGGCTGTCACTGCTCACAACCTCAGTTTCTGCATCTGTAAAATGAGGACAGGAGTAATATCTACTCAGAGGAGGCCAGAGGACCAAGTGAGACATTGCCCACAGAGCCTTTCTGGGGGCTGGATTTGGCCCGCAGGCCATATTTTACTGCCCTGCATTGGTCCACTGCCCGTCGGAGCAGAAGCAGGTGGGTAACATTCCTGTCTTCGGTTCTGACATGGACCTGTTTTACAGGGGGGAAACAGGCTGGGAGCGCTCAGGGGACTCATTCAAGGTCACATAGCCAGTTAGCAGCAAGGCCAGGTTGCAGGTCCGAGAGCAGGTGTAAGGGGTCCCCAGAGGGCAGGGGACACAGATGGAGCCCAATCCCTGCCGACTCTCCCAGCCCCGTCCTGCCCCTCACCACCAGGTCCGGGGGGAACAGGGCGTGGGTCATCCGGGTGATGTTCTCCAGGGAGAACTGGAAGGAGTAGTTGAACATGCGGAAGTCGTTGAAGATGGCGGGGCAGTCCCGGGGACAGATGTCCTGCTGCCCGCTGAAGGTGGAGATGGTGATGGAGTCTGTCCAGAAGGGGCAGGGCTGCATGCTGGTGAAGCCGCCGTCGATGTACCTCTGGGGGCAGAGCGGGGGTGCTCGGGAGGCCCAGGCGGCATGGAGGCACAGAACCTCCGCCCCGCCCAACCTACCGACCAGAATCCCTTACTTTGTGAGACCGAGTCCCTCATGGACACATGAAAGACGGCCTCCAAGATCCCCACGTTACGGGGCCATATTTCCGCTCTGTGGGGCTTGGGACGTCTAACAAGCTGCGGAACAGGTTAGAGTTCCGAGAAGCCCGACCCGAACAGGGAGGCTCACGGGAAGGCCCAGGAGCCCCGACACCAGGGATTCTGAGTAGAGAAACACGAGCGACCTTCCAACTCTGGGTCCTCGCTGCATTTGGAGGCCACCCCTCTGCTCTCCCAGGTGTGGTGTCCCAGGTCCCAGCTCACCCCCAGCACCTGGATCACTCACCACGCCGCGGTACGTTGGGGGGATGAAGCCGCAGTACACGGGAACGAAGCAGCTGCAGTACAGGGCCTGGAGGGAGAACAGGATTTGGGGGTGGTGCGGCTCCCGGGGGGCGTGTGGAGATCACTTGGCATCGCTGCCCCCCACCCCAACCCCGACTTCCTTCAACCAAGGTGAAGGTGCCAGACTGGCAAGTGGAGCCCCAGTTCCATCATGGCCTGGTCCTAACTAGTCCGGGCCCTTGCTAAGCTGTGGGATCAGTAGGGGCCTGACGTCCCAGCTCCACAGGGAAGTGGCCTCCGCGTCTGCAGGCGCCAACTTTCCACGGATCAGGTGGAATTCGGTGGTCATTAATCGGTATGTCCTGGGCCAGGCCCTGGACCCGCAGAAGGGTGAGATGCCCACATTTCAAAGATGGGGAGCAGCAGGAAGGTGACAGTATAGTGCAGTGACAGGGGCGTCGTGGAGGTGCACATGGGCATTGGGGAGGGCAGGGCAGGAGGTGATGACCGCAGTGCCCCGGCTGGGGGACTGGGGTTCAAGCAGGTGAGGTGAGGTAGGTAGGCAGGCAGGAGCCCCGGGCACAGCGTGTGTGGTGCAAAGGGTTGTGGTTTTGATCTCAAATGTCCCCCAAATCCTCATGTGTTCGGAAGGTGCGCGCGCGGATCACGGGGCGCTGTACTCAGCTGTGGATCCACCACCACTAAGAGCCCAGCAGCCGTGAACCGGGAGGAGGCGGGGCCTGTCTGGGGCGGGGCCTGGGAGGGCTCCTCCCTCCTCTCGCTGCTTCCGGTGCGCCCTGCAGTGAGCCGCTCTAGTCTGCCGGGCCGGGCCGTCTGGCCTGCCTTCCTGGGTCGGAGCCGGCCAACTTTGGACTGAAACGCGAGCCAAAATAAACTTGTCTCCCTTCAAGCTGCGGGTGTCAGATGGGACAGTGACTTAGGACTGGGGCTTGGGCCCGGCGAGGGCGTGGCGGGCCGTGGCTGCCCTGGCAGGAGGGAGACAGGGGCTGGGGAGCGAGCGAGGCTGCGGCCGTGGGAGGCGGTGAGGAGCTGTGGGGGAAGGAGCAGCGAGGCCCGGCGACCGGGCACGGGGCTGCCCACTGCCCGTTCACCCGCACCCGGACCAGACCCGTGGGCCCGTGACGACGGGGTGGCGAGGCCCACATCCGGGGCACGGAGAAGACGCAGCTTAAGTAACCCCACATCCCTGGCGCTGTCCCTCAACAGATCGCGACTAAAGCGTGTGTGAGTGAGCTTAGCTGGGTGCGTGGTCTGGGAGGCTCCGGCCTCTCCAGTGATGAGCAGCTGGGGAGGACTTGTATTTAGAAGGGGGAGTCAGGGCACAAACGGAGTAATCGGGAGGGGCCGCGCTGCAGCCCAGGCTGGGCGGTGCCTAAAGGAGCCCAGGGACCTGCAGGCCCCGCGCAGGCCTCTGCGGAGCAGCTCAGGGCAGGACCGAGGGTGGCGGCCGCGAAGGCCCCGGCCAGCCGGTCCTGGGCTCCCAGCGCCGCCCCGCACTGCGCCTGGCGTGGAGAGGCGCACGGAGGCCGGTGGGGAGGGTGATGGGGGCCTCCCAACCCCCGGGATCCTTGCCTCGATGAGCTCCTCCTTGGATGTGAAGTCGGACACCACCACGCTCTCCCCGTCCTCGAAGCGCGTGAGGCCCACGTGCAGCTTCCCAGTGGCGACCTTGTAGGCGTCCTCCGGCAGCGCGGTGTACAGGAACCGCCTCATCATCTGCACCATCCTGCAGGACGGCGCGAAGGGGCCCAGGAAGTACTTCTTCACCTCGGCCAGGCCCAGGTTCAGGACGCGCAGGTACTCCTCTGCAGAGGGGCAGAGCGGGCGGGGTCACCCCAGGCCAGGGGCCAGGGAGGGTCTCAGGCGACTTTACCATCCCATCTGCGTCCCAAGGGTCTCGGGGAGGGACCTGCCATTGTGCACCTGAGCAAAGCCGGGCGGGGAAGGAGGAAGGCACTGGCTTCACAGCTCCCCAGCCAGGCAATGCAGAGCCGGACCCAGGTGTCCTACCCCCGTCCACAAGTGGCTACATGACAGAGACTTCCATCTTGACCCCTAACAGAGCCATTTCTCATCCCAAAATAGCTTTCTCCAGCTTTCTGCTCCCCCTGGATGTCTCCTCCAGGCTATGTTCTTTGGGGGTCTTGTATGAGATTCCTCTTAAAACAGGGATGGTGAATGCCTGTAATCCCAGCCCCATGGGAGGCTGAGGCAGGAGGATCCCAAACTCAACCCCAGACTGGGTGACTGTCTCAAAGTAAAAAATAAAAAATTGGCTGGGGATATAGCTCAGTGCGAAGGCCCTGGGTTCCATCACCAACACTGAGATAGTTAAAAGACATTAAAGTGATACCCTGAGACGCTTGTCCACTGGCCTGGAGGCAGGTGAACGGCGAGGAGGTGAACAGTGCCCTGATGCCATAGCATTGTCTTTCCTGTGTACAGCGGGGAGGAGGAGCCTGGTGCTCAGTGGAGCTGTACCCCCAAGCCCCCAGAACCCCACCAGGGGTGTAGGAAGAGCATCGTGCCAAATTCCCACACCGATACCGTGCGGCAGGTATTCTACCATCGTGCTTTCCCAAGGTCCGTCAGTCAGTCGGTTAGTCAGACAAACTGAGTTCACACTAAGGTGTGTGACCCCAGAGCCTACACGGTTCTACAGCACTTAACCTGCTTCCTGCTGATCGCTGCCGGTTCCCACCCTGCGCAAGCTCCTGGGAAAAACGATGGAAATAGCTCTGAGAAGGAGGCCTCAATTTTTAAAGCAAATGTATTTATTTCTTGGTGCTGGGAATTGAACCTTCAGCTTCATGCATGCTAACCATGACTCTACGACTGAGCTGCAGCCCTGGCCCTTAAACAAATATTTGATTGTAAAACATCCTATGTAGACAAACTTCCCCTTGATTCGAACACATTGATTCCATCATTCTTGCCACTTTCTGAAGCAGTTCTGGAGTCCTCTTTTCTGAGTGTCTATATGATGTGATCAAAAACATGGTGATCGGTGCTGTCAAGTGCCATCAAATGGAAAAGCAGGCTCATAAAAACATGATGCTGTGTCCTCATCCACCTTATTCCCTGGATCTGCCACTGGGTGACTTCTGGCCGTTTCCTAAAGTCAAAATGACTGTGAAAGGGAAATGTTTTGAATTGATTCATGACATTGATGCCACCAGGACAGTGCAACTAAAGATATGAAAGAGGACTCCCAGAGCTGCTGCAGAAAGTGGCAAGAACAATGGGATAAGTGTGTTTGAAGAGAGGGGGAAGATTTTGAGATTGACAACAATATTTTTTTTACTGCAGTACATTTTTAGAAAGTTAAACATTCCTTCTATTTTGGGGGGGGTACTGGGGATTGAACTCAGGTCCTTGCGCTTGCGCAGCAGGCAGCGAAATCACTGAGCTAAATCCCCAGCCCTATTCCTTGTATTTTTAAAATCAGACCTCATATCCAGGAAGCCATCAGGGTGTACATTACCCTCCTATTCACAGAGTGTCGAAGGCATAGAGAGGTTTAATGATTCACCTAAAATCACACCCGGCAATGAGGACAAACCAAAACCAGGAACTTTTTTTTCCTTTTGTTACTCGGTTTACAGATTATACCATCCTGGAGATGGGCAAAATACAATAAATAACTGGGGACCATTGTACGGATGGGAAAACTGAGGCAGAGAAAAGCTTAGTGCCTTGCCTGAGGTCACACAGCTGGGCAGCAGGTTTTTCTGCCTCTAAACCCTGCTCTTGAGAAATTTCTCCAGGTACTGGACTGAGGGGAGGGAGGAAGACGCTGAGCCAGCCTAGTTGCCATGGCAACAGCCTTCTCCAGCCAGTGTTCAGGATCAGACCTGCATCTTCGAGAGGGAACGTCTAGGCTGTCCCTCTCTCCGGGGAGGGGGCCGGGAGGTGAGGCCGCCAGGAGGCGAGGCCCTGTGGTTTTAGGAAAGTCAGCTCTGCCCTTCTAGGACTTGTACAAACAGCATTTCTCTCTGGGGAGATCAGCAGCCAGCTGGAGAGCAGGTTATGAAACAACTGGGTTCTTGCACACTGCAGTGTTGCATCACTGAGGTCTGACATGATTGACCAGTTGGGGCAGGGAAATGAGCCAGGATAGGGACTCATTCTTGTTGGAATTCTTTTCTTTTTCTTCTTTGTTTTTTTTTTTTGTGGTACTGGGGATCGAACTCGGGTCCTTGCGCTGGCGCAGCAGGCGTCAAAACCACTGAGCTAAATCCCTGGCTCTTGCTGGAATTCCTAATGAGCAGCCTAAAGCCTCCCCAAGGTCAATGACCTCTCCCTCCAGCTCGGGGCCAGGGCACCCGACTCAGTTTCTACACCAAATTTGTTCTTGTCGTACAAAGCACATATACTCTTGGTGGATAAAACAGTTTTTTTTTTAAGTGAAAACAAATGAAAAGGAACACCATGTCTTGGAATTCCTTCATCCAGAGATTAACGTTTGGTCTGACTTCTTAGACTATGTATTTTATTTTTATTCTTACAAGGAATCATGCTATATACTAATTATACTTGGTTTTTTGCCTAATTCAAGTCTACTGCGTCTTTCCTAGTCAAAAAAATTTGTATTCATAATGTCATTTTAGAGAAGCATGAAAAGCAATTGTGCAGTCACCTCATTGCTTATTGAGAAGGTCCCCAGTAGGGTTTGGCTGAATTAGTTTATTTCTTTTGTTGTTGCTTGTTTGTTTGCTTTCTTTTCTAAATTTTGCTTAATTACTTTCCTTGGAATAAATTCCGAGGAGTGGGGATGTTAGGTGAAAGGTATTTAAAGCCCTGTAACACTCACTCTCATCCTGACTCTAGTGTATTCTTCGTGGCCCGGCAACTCGGCTGCTCAAGGGTGGAGATGACGGACAGGGACAGAAAAGCAGTCAAGACAATGGAAATAGTGTTGGATTTGCAGTGCTCACATCTGGAAATTACTGATGCCATCCAGCATCATCGTGCTGCCAGGGTGGGCGGGGCGGGCCGTCTGATTTCTCCCAATCTGATGCCCAATGTAAAATTCTCTCTTGTGGCTTACTCGAGCTATAAACCAAAGGAGGCTCTTATCTCTGCATCGTCTTGCTTCTGTGTGCGCATGCGCATGTGTCTTTGTCTTCCTCTTCAGAGCCTGCCCCTCCCTCTCCCTCTCCCCCCCTTTCCCTCTCCCTCTCCCTCTCCCTCTCCCTCTCCCTCTCTCTCTCCCTCTCCCTCTCCCTCTCTTTCTCCCCCCCCCCTTCCCCACTCTCTCTCCCTTCTGACCCTCTTTTCCCACCTAGGGGAGAAATAACTAATCTTCTGGTCAAAACAAATCTCCACTAGTATAAAGTCAAGTTTTAGGGTTAGGGTGAACTAAGAGGAGGGATGCATTTAGCTTTTTCTTTATGCATCTACATGCTTCACAGCCCGTCTCCTATTTCAAGGCCTGCAAGCTGCAGGCTGCCGGGCTGCAGGACAGAGGGTCCCACACTGGCCAGGTGGAGAAGAGATTTTCGGAGGCCAGGGCTCCACTGCCCGCCCTCCTCCTCAATGCCCTGTCACCATACCTTGCCCAGACGTCCCTTCCGAAACCTTCCCTGTAGGCTGAGCACCTTCTAGCCCCGCACTCCCTTTCCTCACAGAGCCTCCTAGGACATTTGTGAGTGCTTGGTGTTTGTTTGGGGAATGAACAAAGGAAAATAAAAACCTAAATGGAATGGGGATCCCCCAGGGAAGGGCTGCTTGACTTTAATTATCCAGTGATAGCTGGAAGGCAAGATCATCCCAGATGATGCATAGGCAAGAGAATTAACTCTCTGGATTCTTGTCGTCAACTCACCGGGTTTTTTGAGTCTATTATGCCTAGAACTTCAGTAGGGAAATAAGCAATTAAGATGCTAGGATGAAGAGATTTGGAAGGACCCTTGAAGCCTGTCTCCAAACCATTCAGGGGCTTTCATTCATTTCTGCTGCTTGGGAAAACATGGCCACATACTACCTGGGTTGTCACTGGTCAGTTAAATAACTCTTCACCCTCAGTTTTGCCACCTTGGAGATGGGACAGAAAATGCCTGCACTTTTGAGCCATGAGGCAGGCAGTTTTTAAACTACCTGCCCTGGTAAGTGCTTGATTCTGGTTGTGCCGGTAATTCCTGTGTGACCGTGAATGAGGCTTCCGATGTTTCAGCCTCCTCACCTGAAGAGGAGCAATGATCCCTGGTGTGGGGTGGCATGGAGAGGGGGCACCCCTCATTCACAGTAGTGCAGGCTTAGTGGCAGGCATACCCCTCCCTTGTCAACTCGGGGAGACCCTACAGACTTAGTATGGGGGGATGCTAGAAAAATCACTGAAGGAGAAGAAAAGGACATTTTGCGTGCATCTTATTTATGTGTGTGACGACCACCCCTTCATGGGAGCAGGAAGGGCCTCTGTCTTCTTCGTGCTTTTGTCCCTAGCCCTCGATATCAGCCCGGGACACTGGTAGGCACTCGATACACGTGAATGCGTGCGTGCGTGAATCATGAATAAATAAACTCCAGAAAGCAAAGAGAGAGAAGTAGCTATTCAAAAATGGCCCAGAAGGTCAAAAGAGGCCTTCTCTTCTCGCCTCCACATTACCTCCTGCTGAGTGAAAAAAAATCCTAGAAATACGGGCACTTGGAAGTTGATAATTTAAGCTGCTGGGGATCCCGTTCCCAGGGTGCTCGAATTAGGTCTGCTGTTTGAGGTGGAACTGGGTGGAGAATGAGGCTGCGGGGCTGCGGTCTCTGTGGACTGGTAACCTAGCAACAGCCTCCAACTCAACCAATCACCGTG